TTTCCCTATCCCCTTCAACAACCTCCCGTACTACCCTTTACCGTCCCTTCCCTGTTACAGCCACCCAAAACAACTTTTTTTTTAATTTTTTGTAGTTGTTGTTGTCGAATCTAAAACATCTACTCTCCTAACTGGAGCATCAGATGATCGACATTTAATGTGACCAAACGATCTAAGACGACTCTCTCTAATTTTGTCCGCCACAGAAGCTACAACAACCCTATCACAGATATATTCATTTCGTATTTTGTCTCTAAGTGTAAAGCCATTCACCACCATCTTATAAAATTTTCCTTTCAGTCCAAGTGGTACTTCTCTATCATACAACAGGCCCGAAGCATTCCTCCACTTCAACCAACTAACTTGAATTTTACTAATAACATCCCAATTTATATCACCATATTTGAACAATAGACCCATCAATTTGAACAATAGACCTAAGATATGTAAAACGTTCACACTTTTTAATAATTTGATCAACCATAGTTAAAAATCTATCACTAAAGCTACTACTACTAAAATTACATTCCATATCTTCAACTTTAATTCTACTTAAACAATTAATTTTACTTAAACAAAGGCCTTTGCAGTCCACCCACATAACCAGTCACCCCTTGTGTTGTTTCCAACCCCCCTCCCCAACCTTCTCACGTAGCTTCCAATAGTTGTTCCTCGCTGTCGCCATCCGAAAAACAACAACATGCTATCCACCCCCTCAACGCTCACAGCCACTCCCAGAAAACCGCTTCAATTGCTGTTATATTTCATCCAAATCCCCAAACCATCATTCTAGCCATTTGCCGCCCCTTCCAAACCCAACCAACACCACCTCTGGATCAAACCCTAAAGTGAGTTTGTGTCGTGTCTGTTGTTATTTCACTTTTTAGTGTGTGAATTGTAACCGCCTATTGACTTTTCAATAATAATATTTGTTTGCTTATTGTTGTATTTTGGGTTAACTCCGGTATCAATGACTTCAAAGCAATGAAGTTCACAACAAAATTTGAATTCTCACAAGAGCATATGAAAATTTTACTTGTAGAAACAATGGATAAGGTACATAGGAGATTGAGTATCAGCATGTCACATCTTGAATTATTCAGGACTATTAGATTGATCTTATTGATTTTGTAAAGGAGTGCATACAATGCATGAAGCTCCTACTAATGCATTATGGTGATTTAGTTTATATTTTAGTAATGATGGTTTATAGTATTGGCATTTTGAAATTAAATAGAATACCTTAATACTAGGGTTAAATGTAAGTGCTCTAGTATCTGCATAATCAAAATAAAAGGAAGTTTTTCACCCTATAGTTTATCTTTCGCCATCACCAATCCACTATCATCGGATTGCCACGAACTAATCACCATCGTCGCATCACCATCATTCAACCAATACTGTAAAATTGCCGTTTGTTGTCTGTTGACGTCAATTTGAAGATATTCATGTGCCACTAGTAGAGACACAAAAGCCAACAAGGGGGAACTACATATGGCTTTTATAGGACGGTGTTTAACCTCTGTTAAGAGGAGGTAGTGCTCACAAAAAAGGAATAGAAATCGTGAAGGGAGGTGAAAATTTTTCTGGTGATTGCATCTACGAAGAACAACCATGTGCTCTTAATACAGACACGAGCCTACAAGTAAAAAGTATGTTCCCGCCTATGTAAGGCAGCGTTAAACTTAACCCTTCACAAAAAAAAAAAAAAAAGAAAAGGGCTGGAGTGCACAGAGAAGAAGTTTGAATACGTTAAAAAAATTTGAAGATTTCCTTGTGAATCCATCTATGAAGGATAGACCCATGCTCTTGCTCGAAATGCAATAGAGCCTGCAAGATGGAACTACATTACGGCTAAGCAGGACATTAATTAACCTCTTTTAAGAAGAAAGCCTGCAAGTTACCAAAATTTTACAAATTATCTAAAGTTTTGTAAGTTTTAGCAAAAATGTTGAAAGTTTCTCGCAAAAAAATTTGAAAACATTTTGGTCATTGAAAAGTCAATTTGTAAAATAAAAATATTTTCATATTTTCAATTAAAAATATCAAAATTCTTGTAATAGTCGCCACCTATGCGTCAAAGCGCAGCCCTACACATGCAGTAGCTTGCGCAAGCACAAACATGCATGCAGTGCTGCTACAAGCCCACATGCAAGCGGCCTTTACTTATGCTGTTGGGCGTGAGCTCATATGCCACTGTGAGCTTGGCTACATGCCCGTATTGGCATGACCATTGCACGAAACAATGCACCTTCATATGTTGCTATCCTATGCTCATGAATGAACATGCACATGCTCACTTGCATGCATGGAAGAGCATCCATATGCACCAACACCGAAAGTGGCAGTGACGACAATTCGACCTAGCCTGAAATCTGACATGCCTACTGCACTATTTTTCAGTGATATGAACTTAATTTAGGAACTTTCAGAACCTTAAAAAGACACTATAAATTATTTTTAACAAATTAGAAGAATTTAATATTTCAACAATCCTAACACAAATTACTGCACATACTTCAAGAATGATTAAAATTATGGTTCACAAGATCTTACATGGTTCATGTCCACAAAGAGGTCCACATTGACATCCACGAAGTGATAATACCTTATAATTTTTTGAGATTATAATTTCAGTCTAATTTTTCAAGAACACAATATCAATTTTTGAATGGCATAAGCTTCTACGTTTGAAAATAAAGAGGCAATGGATGTCACTGAGAAATCCACTTGTTGAAACTCAAATTTCAATGCATTTTAGAGGAAATAACTTCAAGATTCAAGTTCATAATTACATGAGTTCCAATTTCAACAAATTTATAGTCAGATTGAACGCTTAAATAAGATGAACCTAATAACACTAAAATCGATGCAGTTCAAATTCAAATGAGCCCAAATAGAGCACTTAAATTATAATTTGAAGCTTTAGAATACTAATTAAATGGTTAATGATCTCCAAATTCAGCATTCTTATAGTCAAATCAAGTGTATTAATAAAAAAAAAAACTAATGAGTTTAAGGTCATTCAATTATATAGTCATTAAATCACTTAAAAGTTAAGAGAATGATCAATATAATCAAAGGAATCAATACAAATTGCCCGATGAGTGTTTTGGAATTTTAGCTGAGTATATCAAAATGCACCCTAAAAACTCTTTAATCAGAGCCCAATACTAAACATTTAGGGAAAAGGAAACTTTGGGGAGCGGTTAGAGATTTGAAGAACTCTAGAGCTCTATCTGGCATCCAATGTAGATGACCACCAGCAGTTGCTACCAGTAAGTTGTTGTAGTCCAACAACACCACCCAACCGTCGTCACTCGACTGCTATCATCCGACCGTCATAATCCAATTGTTGTCTTCATCTTCCACTATTTCTAACTCTACTACAAATACAGGAGATTAAATTTGGTCATATCACTTTGTAATTCTATCATGTTTAGTCAAAGAGAAGGATATAATACTGTAATTGCAGTTATATAGTGGAATATTTCATTAGGCCAAGCTACATGATTATTCCTTTTTGAGTTTTCAACATAAAAATTCTTGTCAAATTGATTCTTTCATTTTATCCGCTTGTGTGCGGGATCTTTGTGTGAAGCTCAAACGTGAAACTCTTATTCTTCCACGGTGAATTTTCTAGATCGTAACAAGTAGAACAAAAAAAAATGAGGATTCATCAAACTAACACAAAATAGTTGAGATAGTTAAGATCAGGCTAATAATGATGTTCAAAAAAGGCACATTCATCAAATAGATTGTTTATTACTGATCTAATATTTTATAAAACAATTTCATATTTTCAAGTTGCCAGTAAATTACCTCACATTCTCCAAATTTAGTAACTTACATATTGATCAAATTGAGAATTGGTTCAAGCTTAATAATAAGACTTGCCAATCTTAGATAATCAATGTACCTATTTTCCACCGAGCAAAACAAACTTTCGACCACATGAGCATATAATACCAATATAGTTCAATATTTTTGAATGCAAGGCAGTTTGCCAAAGAGGACGAGCTTGAAAGAATGATTAACTTAAATCAAATTTAATCAAGAGGTTCCAATTATGAGTCATTGACTTTCACACGCCATGTAGTTCATAGATTAAAAACAAACTCTCATATACGTAGCTTCACTCCAAGCTATTATTGCACCCTAAAAAACTGAAACCCGTATTTGACTAAATTTCAACATTAACATAGTCTGCAATTTCAAATAAAAATCTTTGAAAATATATTAAGAGAATAAATCTACAAAATTGTCTTGAAAGAAACAAGTGGTCAATTTTTCAGTATGTAAGCACTCTAAAGAATTCATTCAAAATTCATCAAGTACAAAAAAAATCCTAACATTTTTATGGTAAATACCTTATGGGCAATTGAGGTATAAAACGATTTCTCATTAGACTGCCTTTTTTTAAATATTTTGTATAGTCCATCAAGATATAAAATGATTCACTTTAGTCTTTATGCTTACAAAATAGTTAATAAAGAATTACATATCCAAAATATTTTAGGCATTTTTCAAACTTATTGCTAAAAAATCAATTAACCTTCCTCAACCTACTAGCTCACTTTTACTTCTCCTTTTAATATTTATTGTCTGGGGAGTGAAATAGCAACCATGGAATAGAAAACGCTGGAGATTAAGAAGATAATCAAGAATTAGCAGAAAGAGGAAAAAGTCATTGACCAGAACCTAAAGCAGACAAGCATCTGCCAAGTGCCGAATATGAACGCTGCAACTAAGGACAAAATGAAAAAAGAAGCTAAGGGGTCGCATACGTATAATGTTTGTTATGCTGCTTAAAAATTGGTTAATTATTGTTAAAAACCCCAACGCACTGTCTCAAAACCATTGCCTTTTTCAAGCTGAGTTACCTAGTCCGAAATTGTTTTTTCGAAACTTTTCCTTTCAAATAAATATTTATTTATGTGCCTAAATTTAGCATTTTGAAAATTTCCTTTCAACAAAAAAAATTTATTCATGTTACAAAATTTAACAAAAATTTAATGAATTTATGGAAAAGAGTTTCACAAAGATCAAACTTAACTTTGGAACCAACTTTTATAGTTAAAAGGTGCTAAGGACCAAAATGCAGGATTTTCAAAGATGTGTATATATGTGAAGTGCCTCTTATACCTTAGGGACATATGCAAAATCTTTTTTTTTATTCCCAACGCTTAGGTCTTTTATCTCACTTCATGCCATGATTGTTGTCTAACTCACAGGAGGATGAATAAAACTCCGAATGACTCGGCATAAATTCCTATCGAAGCTACTAATTACAATCACTTTACACTTAAATACCAATATTCCTCTTAAAACATTTTTCAAAAGAATAATAAATCACAAAGAAATTTCAACTTACCAGATTCATGCGTTGCGACTGGCTGGACATACTCTTTCAGTGCATGCGTAAAGTTGGTCATCTTGCTCATATATGCTAATGCTATCAGAAAAGTGCCTATAATATGATCACCACAATTAAGATCACAGTAAGCTTGACCCAAATGTGATAAACAAAAAATAAATTTTGCAATAAAGTATGCAGTTAGAAGCAAACCATCAAAATATCCAATTGCCTGAAGAACATTTACTCCTTCCTTAAGCATTCTGGATATGTCCGTTGGAAGTTGAGGTCCACAATGCTGATAAAGGTAAGCTGAAACTAGTGATAGAAAGCACAAATAGTAACATAAAAGAACTTGTACATGCAATTTCATAAGGAATACAAACCAGTGAGGTATTATTCCTTTTCTCCACACCTTTTCCATTGATCAAGAAGCTACAAAATGAGAATTAAAATACCAAGTAAATTTCTATCAAACAATCTGGAATACAAAATGGGACTTCTACCTCACTTGGGGATTCGCAATACATGAAGAGGTTTCCAAATTCTCTGTCTTAACAACAATCAAAACCTGCCAAAAAAGCGGGTTAGCATCCTTGTAAACAGGACAGCTCTACACTATATAAGAATAGAAGACATAAAGCAGCTGCTTTAATGTTGCCAACCAGCAGTGATAAAAATCAGGTATGGTTTCTTGGTTAAAAATCCTGCAACAAGCCACCATGACACCAAATCGAAAGCTTCCGTAAGAATCCACCAAAATTCATTAAAAGTGAGCTCCAAATTGGTTAACAAGGAGTTGCAAAGTTGTTAAACTGAAAGAAACTCCAAAATTGCATGGAGCAAATAAATGGGTTCAGCCAAAGTTCACGCTTCTGAGAAAGATCATATCTGGCAGATCTGGCTCAACCGAGCCTCACATTTCACGCACTATAACAGCGAGCAGATGGTACTATTTCAAGTTAAAAAGAAATCTATGCTGATTTCAAACTAATAAATAGTTATAACTAGATATATAATTTTAGTATACATGATGTTAACGATTTTCTTTAAAATTGTTAGAAGATAAGGAGACATTTAGATGTGATAGATTAAAGTGATAGGATTTCCTATATAGAAGAACAGAGATATAAATGATAAGAAAATATTATGAAGGCTCAAGGAAATATTCTATAAAATAGCAATTAAATCAATAAGTTTGTATGAATCCAAATGCTCGGATGTTAAAAAGTCATTAATATCAAAGTTGAATGAAAAAAAAAAATGAAACTTTAGGATGGATGCGTGACAAAAATATAAAGTATAAATTAAGGAATGGCTATATTAGAAGAAAGGTAGCAGTGAAATCCATTGGTAATAAGCTAACCAAGTCTAGACATAGGCGTTTTGCAGAACAAAGGGTAGATAATGGACCCATCAGATAAGTTTATAGAATTAGTGTTAAAAGAGTAAAACAATAAATAGATATATAACTATAAATTGTTCAAAACTTATAGGAAAGAAAAGATGTAACACCTCACTACTCAACAAAAACAAATGAAAAAAGAGAATTGCTAATGCCTATCCCAAATAGTTGGGATAAGCAAGTGATGATGACGGTGATAGACAGACAGACAGCATGATAATAATGGACTGTCTAATCTAGGTATCCAGCTATTAGAGGTTTTTATTTTTCTTAATTTCACACTTCTTTTTTTCTAAAAAACTATTATTTCATAAAAATATTAGTTTCACATATCTTTTTGACCAACCAAACAGCTGTCGATCAATTTTTTTATTTGAGAATCAATTTTAAATTTAATTTACAAGGCATATGATTTTTTATTTTGAAAATAGTGTGTTTTAATTTTGAAAAATGGGATCAAATTGATCTCATTTTTCTAATAGTTTGCATAATCGTGTCTGATACTGCGAATATTACGCCTTCCCAAAAGATAAGTGTATGCCCAGCGATGGACCCAATCATGCTAACTAAGAGATTTGTGACATCTGTTTGGCCTACAAACCTTTTATGTGTGACTGACAAGTTCCCTTACCTAATATAAAGATTAGATATGGTTTATTCTACTTGGGTTCCAAGTTCCCTGTAGGGGCAAACCCCTATAGCTAATTACATTTCAAACGACCAAGGTCACTTGAGAAAACTTTCGATAATGATCAGAGGTATTAGTCTTCAAGAATTCAATATTTAGATTTCACGGTAGGACGCAAAAAAATCAAGTGGGAAAGAATCAAATGGGAGCAGTAATTTTAAGAGTCCAAAGAAAAGAAAAGGTAAGGGACGTCATAAATCCTGAGGAGAACCCTCAGTAACTTCTTTTGTTTTAAAGATGATATTATTGAAGCGTTCAATCCTGCCAATTTTATTATTTAAAACTTACATTTGCATAATATCTGATTATGCAAATAACTAGAAGAAATACGAGGGTTTACGTCGTACTGAACGACAGCCTCAGAACCTAAAATGAGTTACGACTTAGGCCACACAACATGGTTGTGCAGGGGCCTAAAGAGAACGTGAGGATTTACGTCGCGTTGGGTGAGGTACCTCGAAATCCGATGAAATTTCGTTTAAAACTAAAGAATAGTTTAGTTGGAGTAGATCTATTCATGTGCTGAGTCTCTTGAAATTGTTCTACACGTGCTTACCTCCTCATTGTGCTGCCCACCAAGCTTACTCCGAGCTTCGTAACGTAGCGACTCCGGGTTTAGGGTTTTATGTGTGAGCATGCAAATTTATTTTGTATATGGCCTGACACTGTGTACCTCTTAAACAACCAACCTATTGTACTTTACCCTAAAAGGTCTTGCGGTGTAAGTAAATGCAGAAGTAAAATAACAGTAAGAGCGCGGTAAAAAAAAGAAGTGCGGTAAAATGCAATAAAATAAATTTGCATATCTGACGTGTCTGCTGCTGCTGCAACAAGTGCCAGTACCACAGGTAAAAGTAAACAAGTATTGCAGAGAATTTAGCTAGCATGGCGAACATGTGTATATAAGTGCAAGTAAAAGAACAGACGACACATCAAAGCTCAAATAAGGCCGTAAGAATTCAGGTTCGGAGTGGGCTCAGAGCTAGGCTGTGTGCTTTATAATCTAACTTTGGATAAAAGCTACCAACCCAAACTATCGAATGAGGGCAACTCCTAGCCACGATCGCAACAACTAACAAGTGGACTTTTATAGGATTTTATCAAAGTTTCTTTAATTTTACATGCATACAGAGTTTACTTGATAGTCAAAAATAGTGTTGTCGCAAATGAATTTATTTGTTGTATTTGTGTAAGTATTTAGAGAAGTGCAGTATTTGTGTAAATATATATTAAAGTGTAGTAACTGTGTAAATGTTTGGAGAAGTAAAATAGTCCACATGTTGCTCACTTTGATCGGGTCAGAGCTACCGACAACCTAAGAAGGCAAGGGAGCAGCTTCGCACCAACTATTGGCGAATAGTATCATCAATCATGCTCTCCCCCCTATTGAAGGTCATCGTGGCAAGATATACTATCATATCGTCCCACCTTAGCACGCATAAGCACTATCATCATCGCCTTTAAAGAAAAGAAAATAAAATAAAGAGAAAAGAGGAGAACGACCCAACTCCCAAAATCGGCTAAATAAAGAGGTAAAACTGTGAGTGAGTAAGCTCAAAAGAGTATTTAAATAGCAATCAAGTGAAACTCAAAACAATAGATAAAGGATTCCCTAAAACTACAGCTCCAAACAGTGCGCAAAAGCCCCCAAAAGCAGTATTTAAAGGCCTCAAAAATCAACTAACAAAAGCACCCCAAAACAGTGCTTAAGTTGCACAAAAATCGGCCAACAAAAGCACCTCAAAACAGTGATTAAGTTGCTCTAAATCAGCCAACAAAAGCACTCCAAAACAGTGATTAAGTTGCTCAAAACAGCATATTTAAGATCTCCCAAAAAGCTCTTTTAAAAGCCCCAACAAAAGCACCTCAAAACACTACTTTACTTCTCCAAAAATAGTGTTGTCGCAAATGAATTTATTTGTTGTATTTGTGTAAGTATTTAGAGAAGTGCAGTATTTGTGTAAATATATATTAAAGTGTAGTAACTGTGTAAATGTTTGGAGAAGTAAAATAGTCCACATGTTGCTCACTTTGATCGGGTCAGAGCTACCGACAACCTAAGAAGGCAAGGGAGCAGCTTCGCACCAACTGTTGGCGAATAGTATCATCAATCATGCTCTCCCCCCTATTGAAGGTCATCGTGGCAAGATATACTATCATATCGTCCCACCTTAGCACGCATAAGCACTATCATCATCGCCTTTAAAGAAAAGAAAATAAAATAAAGAGAAAAGAGGAGAACGACCCAACTCCCAAAATCGGCTAAGTAAAGAGGTAAAACTGTGAGTGAGTAAGCTCAAAAGAGTATTTAAATAGCAATCAAGTGAAACTCAAAACAATAGACAAAGGATTCCCTAAAACTACAGCTCCAAACAATGCGCAAAAGCCCCCAAAAGCAGTATTTAAAGGCCTCAAAAATCAACTAACAAAAGCACCCCAAAACAGTGCTTAAGTTGCACAAAAATCGGCCAACAAAAGCACCTCAAAACAGTGATTAAGTTGCTCTAAATCAGCCAACAAAAGCACTCCAAAACAGTGATTAAGTTGCTCAAAACAGCATATTTAAGATCTCCCAAAAAGCTCTTTTAAAAGCCCCAAAAAGCTATGTTAAGCCCCAAACCGCAATTTTAAAACTTCCCAAACAACACTTTTAAAGCTCCAAAACAGCACTTTTACAGCACCTCATAGCACTTCACAACAATTCACAGCACCGCACAGCACTCTCACAGCACCTCACAGCACCCTACAACACTTATCAGCGCCTCAAAGCACCTCACAGCACTCTTACAGCACCTCACAGCACCCTACAGCACTTATCAGCACTTTTATAGCACCTCACAACACTTCACAACACTTAAATAACAAGCATATAGAGCAGAAAACAGCTTTTAAAGGTCCCAATATCAGCATTAAAATAACAAGTAAAGTCCCCCTCAAAATCAGCATTTTTAAAGGCTCAAAACAGCATTAAGACAACACCTAAAAACAGTGTGTAATCAGCCCAAAAATAGTATTTAAAGGCTCCAGTGTAATCAGCCCAAAAATAGTATTTAAAGGCTCCACAATCAACACTTAGATGGGACACAAAGCCCTCCAAAACAGTGAAAACAAAGAGCCAAAATAGTTTTCAAATTTCCTCCAAATTATTAAAACAAAAAGTCAAAACAGTACTATTTAGTGCTTCCAAACAGCAGCAATACAACTCAAATAAAACAACCTTTAGCTCTTCCAAACAGCAGAAATACAGAGCAAACAAAACAGCATTTTACTCTTCCAAAACTGCGAGTTTAAAAGGCTCAAAACAGCAGCTATGTCATATTGAAACAGTCCCAAAGCTGCAGCCAAATAACCCATGAAATAGTCCCAAAACCGCAGCCAAATAAGCCATGAAACAGTCCCAAAACCGTGTTCAAAGCAGCCACCAAACATCCCAAAACCGTCTATGAAACATTTCATGGCAGCTATGAAGATGTTTCTTGATGAAGGAGCTTTACAATCACTATCAGAAAGTTGTTATTGGTGTAGCAGTCAATTTTTTTGGATAATCAGCTGTGTTGTAGCCGTTTCTGACAAAAAAATTTATGTCCTTATAGATATAAATTAGTTCAATAAGTGTAGTTTTCAAAATAATTATAGCAGAATAACATAAACAACTTCAACAATACATGGTCTCAAAACCGTGTATTAAAGGCTTCCAAAGCAGCAATCAAATTAGCCACCAAACATCCCAAAACCACAGCTAAGCATAGTAAAATTTTGTGAATCTTAGATCCTCATAATGATTAAGGGAAGCATGCACCAAAAAAAAACACCAAGCACACATAGAGAAATGGAGAATTACATGGTACACCTCTATGAAACATTTCATGGCACAGCAGTCCGAGCAATTCCAATCCAAACTTCGCAGAATAGTTAGATTACAGTATGTCGCATAAGTCTATTGTCATGCATAACACCGTCAACATAAATATAAGAAAGATTACATACATACCATTCAATTCCTATGGATTTACATACCTAAAATCCAAACTTTAATTTCTACGTATGTGCCACCTTATCTATCATTGATACGTGTATCTCGCTTGATAAAAGTTAAAATGATGGTGTTTTTGATAAGATATAAAAGATCTGAGTGATACAAATGCAAAAAATTAAAGTAGATGTTACATATGTAAATGCATAAGAATTGGGTAGTATGTACGTAAATTTCCTTAAAAATAACCATAGTTGACCAGATACTTTAACTCAGTTCTATGCATGCAATTCACATGCAATTAATGAAATAGGATAAAAAGGCTAAGAAACAAGTTACCAATGACTATCGATAAGTGGCCATCACATAAATATATTCGAATCAATTTGTTGCAGTTCAGCTAAGAAGAAAATAAGCAATTATTTTTTTTCATGCAAAATCGACTCAACCAATGTTTTCAATTTTTGCAAATGTCACATAAAAGCTCTCATTCACATCCATTAAATTCATTTCAAACAAGCTGTCATACGAAATTTTGACCACAAAATGAGAAGCGGTGGCATGTGGCATATTTCAGAATTATGTGTTATACATGTGAGAATATAAGAATTTGAAGAAAATCAGCAAATTTTCATCTGGGTTCCAAATATAATATATGCAAAAAGTCAGAGCTTAAGAAATCTGCACAGAAATGTTGAAGCTATGTGTTCATATGTATAGACACTTAAAATTTAATAAAATCAGCAACACATGTCTTCTGAAATTTATGTTAAGACAGCTCAAACAATCGTAGGGATTCCATACGATTTCAGATGAACGGAAGAATGAAAGTCTCCTCGCGGCTCATGACAGAATGAGGAAAAAGGCGTGCGGTTGTTGTTGGTGAGGGAGCTCACCGGTGTCGAAAGATCGAGTGTTCCGAATGAGAGGGTGCGTGAGGGGAGAAGAGGAAGGAGGTGTCAGTTCTCTCGTAATGGAATGGAGGGGAGGCGGGACTGGAGGGGGGATGCACGGGTCTGTCGCGAGGAAGAGAGGAGGCAGGGGAGACGGTGCCGAGCGATAGAGTCGCAGCAGGAGAGGGTCTCGGTGTCGAGAGAGGCGAGCGGGGCTTCTTCTGCGTGAAGAGGAGGGAGGCAGGATCGAGCGGTCGAGAGAGAGGGAGCAGGTCGAGCAAGGGAGGAGAGGCCTTCTAGGAGAGCAAGGAAGAGAGCTGAAGGGGTGAGGGTGTCGAATGCCAGGAAAGTGTAGAAGCAGGTCGAGTGAGGGGGACGAACGGCGAAGAGAGCCGAGTAGGAGAGGGTGTCGAATGCCTGGAAGGAAAAGGAGCAGGTCGAGCGAGGGAGGCGAGGCCTTCTGGGCGAGCAAAGGAGAGAGTCGAGTAGAAGAATGTGTCGAATGCCTGGACAAAGAGGGAGCAGCCAAATTGTGTAGCCAAATTTTCAATGTGTCCCTTACAGAAGATTAGGCAGGTACTTCAGTGGTTTTCATTTGTGGAAGAGTTTGATTTGGCCAATAATATTTCCTAATTAAACCCAATAAGGCAAGATTGAGCAGTTAATTTAAAATTCAAAATTTGAAACTACGAGTCGTGTGAACAGAGGTAAGTAAGCCGTGTTCAGCCCAGATCGAGCCTGAGACGAACCTGAACCCGCATCCCTTCATTAAATTTTTATACGCGTCAATTTTCGTGTCGCTTGCTCGCGCGCGAAATCATAGCATATGGGTGTCTATCCTAGCTAAAGTCGTTGTTCAGAACGCGATTGCATTGTCCTTTTTGTTATCCGGGTCATCTAGATGAGTTCGTCAACGGTCAGACTAATTTAAGCTAAGATCGCGTTCGGTGCAGTGGATGTGTAAGTTGTAGTGTTCGCGAGCATTTGAGTTACAAAGGGTTTCCCTAGGGTTTTTAAATTCTGTGCGAACTAATTTTTGGGCCCTCCAAATGTTGGTCCTTAGCCTTTGCAACTACAAGTTAAGTGCTTGGGACCACTAATGTAAGGTCTTCAAAAAATGGTTCAAGAAGTGTTTTGAAGTTCTATGTAAGATGGGTTCCATTACAGTCCTCTAAGAGGGTCAGTAGAGGATCCTAAGGCTAGATCCTAGATTATAGGAGAAAGAAACCAAGACCTCACTGAAAATGAGTCAATAATAGCATAACAGTTTTTGCCTGCATGTTTTTTTTTAAATTTACTCTTTCACATTAATTGCAGCCAACTACCTTATCATCTTTGCTCTTTCTCTGAAGAGAATTGGTGGTGCAAATCTTGTAAAATAAAATTAGTAAATCTTAACCTTGCTAAAAATCAACATACAAAGATTAGCATTGCACCAATCATACTCCAAAGTTAATGATTAATGTTTTAAAAATAAAGTAAAAAACAAAAACAAAGAGTAAAAAACAAAAACAAAAAAGAAAAAAGACCCAAAATTAGTCTTTAAAGGACATTTTAAGTAAAAAACAAAAACAAAAAAAGACCCAAAATTAGTCTTTAAAGGACATTTTTTTAAAAGAAAAAATAAAAGCATAAAAGTGATCCCAAATAACCGCTTAATTGTTTGCGTGAAGTCACTACAATTGCTCAAAAATTGAATTGGGACAAATTAAATTAATAGCAATAATCAAAAGAAATATAACAACAAAAGGACCATAACAACAAACACTACACATATTTGGTTAGAGCTGTCCTGAAGTTAATACATATGAATTTTTTTTTTTAAGAGTATTTTCTTCGCAAACAAACAGTTTGATGGAAATGAAGTAAATGCACTGAATAATAGCTCAGGCTTAATGTGTTGGGGCAGCACCAGAGCAAAGACCGTATATGTCAAATGAATGTGGTATGATCATTCAATACACAAGCATTTGAGGTGAGCGCAGTTCTAACAAATAAAATACAAGAGATGCAATAAAATGACAGACAATGACATGAATCATAGCTTTATTGACAAGACAAACATATTAAAGAGTTTTAAGTACAAAATCGTAGCATCTAAATCTCTTGGAAAGTTATTCGAATGATAAACTTATAAGATAAATAGCAATGAATGGCACAAAGGATACTTACTTTCTTCTGTTCTGGATGTTGGTTCTTTGAGAGATGGAAATCGGACATCAGAACATCATAACCAGGCTTCAGCAGAGAAACAAAAAACCAGCTTAATTAATAAAATAGCTCTTTGAAAGAAAAAACAAACTTCAGAAGTGGAAGATAACAAAGCAAAATAATAAGCTAATCAGAGACACGAATCTATTCATTCCCCAAACCATTCAGTCCGTATAATAAAAAACAAACTGTCTTCTACATTGACCGGAAGAATATTTGCTAGCAAATCGTAACAAACCCTCAGAAAATAAACAAGATGGATCAGCAATGACTTGAAAGACACTCCAACAAAGGTCTATCGTGTTATAAAAAGCATTTAATAATTAAAGATGCTATGATGTTAGAAAACTAAAAAAGCATATACGCATACAATGTCCATTAGTTTCATTTCAAAAAAGCTAAAGGCTTGTTTGGGACCACTTTTGTTTTTTTGTTTTTGCTTAGTTTTAAAAATAATGAATTTTTTGCATGTCTTTTTTTTTTCCCAAAATTAATTAACTTGTTTTTATAAACACTCAAAACATCATAAGTTGTTCCAAGTGTTATTAGTAACAGCTCATCATATTATAATATAACAAACATTTTAATTTTAAATACAAACAAAAACATAACAAAAAAATAAAAACTATAACTGATCCCAAATGGCCCTAAAAGCCAAAAAATTCCAAAAGTGAAATCACAGTAACAAATCTGGAGGACCAAACAAAAAATACAAATTCTTTTTCTCTTCATTCTTTTCTTATCTTTTCTCTGTTTTTTTTTATTTATTTTTTTTTTGCTTTTGAGAAAACTCCATCCTTCGATACAATCCCAAAATAACTGAGCAGAACGATTTAATCATGGTAAAAATTGAAATTTAAACCAAAATACCAATTTGAAAACCAAATGACTTCAATATAAAAAGGGCACAAAGCATCCATCATAATGTATATTTAATCATGGTTTGGTATCTGTCTAGCATAAATTGGGAAAACTAGAACTATCAAATGACTTCAAACTAGATTCATATTAAAACAATAATATTTTTTCTTCCAGATACTCTGATTACATCGTTTAGTGTTGATGAGAAGGCAAGTGAGAAAAAAAAATATCTTAAGAGAATGTCCATATTCAAAACTATAGAGATTCAAATGGACATGTTTTAAAAACAAATCCAAGGGAAAGAAAAATAATGAAAATCTAGAACCATCACTTCCACAAAGTGGTAGAGCCAAAATTTGAGAAGTGTGAAATAAAAATCAATTAAAATTTATTATTTCTAAAATAAATTAAGCAATAAGATGAAATGAAAAAAAAATAGCTAACCTATAAAAAAAACTCTTTCAATCCAGCCATTATGATTATACATCTTAAGTTGTGCATGAAGCATTTTCATTGCTTCAAGATCATCAAGCATTGATTCTAAATAAAAAAAAAGTCCATATTCAAAACTATAGAGATTCAAATGGACATGTTCTAAAAATAAGTTCAACGGAAAGAAAATTAAAGAAAATCTAAAACCATCTCTTCCACACAGTGGTGAAACCAGAATTTGAGGGAAAGGGGTGTGAAAAAAAAAACAATTAAAATTTATTATTTCTAAACCAAAATAAAAAAAATAGCTAAGCATAACCTATAAAGAAAGGACTTTCAATCCAGCCATTATGATTATGCATCTTAAATTGTGCTAGACACATTTTCATTGCTTCAAGATCATCAAACATTGATTCTACATCAAAATTCATTGCAATATCTTTTTCAATATATGTTACCAATGACCTCACAAAAAAAAAAATATTTCCTTTTATTCCGTATGTATTAACCAACAAGATGATATATGACTGCTTTTTTATATCTTAGCTAGCATTTGACTTAAATCTAAAATTGTAGATAATTTGAAAAACTTAATTTTGATAAACTTCAATTTTAAAATGATCTAATTGAATTTTTTAAGTGTAAATTTTATGTATTTGTTAAGTTTTTGGGATAAAATTTATTTTGACAAATACAATCAATTTTGAATTATTGATATACCGCTTGAGAATCCAATGCATAACTAAGAATAAATAATTATGCAGCGTATTCTTTAAATTATTTATTCATCCCATACAGTTATTTATCTAACGTGACTATTCAAAAATCAACTTTATAATTATGATTTGTATCGACAATGTGCTTTTTATGAAGATTTTTTTCGTAGCTTATGCGTAGAAATTTATACTTTACCTACATGATTTATGAATGAATATTTATCATTATTATTTCCACTCTTTTAAGCTTGAAATATGTCCACTATAAACAAATAGATTCATGATGTTCACGTAGCATTGTTAAAAATATATATATATAAAGCAATATGAATGCTTTATTTTTAAAAAAATATATAGCCAAATTGAAAATAAATTATGCTATAATAGAAGAAAACAAAGACCAAATCTATTAAAATAATAGAAGGTATTTGGAGGAGTTGGTTGATATGGTCCTAACACCCAATATTTTCGTACAACTTCATTTTTTTGATAAGAAAAATAATCTCAAATAAATTTGAATATTTATAATGTTCTAAAGAAATCAAATCAAATGAGTTTATTTCAAGTTGAGAAATTTTTTAAAAAAATATTAAATTATTATTAAATTTCAACTATAATTACTTTTTTTTTAATTATTAAACATTTAGGTTTAAGGGAGGGGGCTAGGGACAAATTTTTTATGTATTATATGAAAGTAAAGAATTTTGCAAAATCTAGATGCGCAGTCCCCACTAAAACCATCTTGATTCTACCACAATTGCCATAGCGTATGATGAAGATGAGAAAGAGACAAAAAGGAATTGATCACCAAACAATCTCTCACTATAATTCAAATTCAAAAAGGAATGAACAAACATATTCTTTCGAAGAATTGATAGATATTTATTTTTAATTGAAAGAGAAATATAGGAATAACAAAGGGAAATCAAAGTCTTTTAAAAAAGTTTAAAGAAAGAAAACCAATAAGCCTCACTTCATTTAAGATCATATGATACAAAAATTATCTTTAGAAAATAAAATAGCTAGCAAAAAAAATGAAATCAATGCCCTACTCATTAATATAGTAAAATGAGCCTAGATTATTGTTTTTTAAAGACTTAACTCTTACGAAAAAAATCTATTTACTTTCATTGTATATATTGATTTCTAGCCTAGATTCCATACACATATTTTACAACTGTATTATATTAATTTTATGTATATAAGTTTTTAATTAGATACTTTAGTTCTCTACATGTTAGGATTGTTTTATTCCCAAAGAGAAGTTTGTCAGAAGAATAGTTTTGGAGATCAATGATTGATGTTATAATGATCATGCAACTTAGTTTGCCCCATGAATGATGCAGTATCACGAGCACCTGTAGCACGACAAGGAAAACAACATATAACCCAGCAAGATTTAAATAAAGAAAAAGATTATAGTAACATGCGCCTTTTTTATTGGAAAATAAGTGCGAGAAACAAGATAGTAAAGCATGTACGTAAATACAAACTATCACCATAAAAATTTAGCCATCTTGCATAAGAATCATTCACTCTTGTGAAGGTAGGCCTCCTCAAAATGGACGTTTGGAGCAAGCTAAGGGCAACGATGAAGGTGAAAAATATAATGAAGAAGCTTCTCTTCAAAAATTTGGGGTGATTTAGTCATAATTTAGCTTCCACTCTAAGATTTAGAATGATTTAATATTGAATTTCTATTACAGCACCGTGCTACAATACTACGTTAAGGGGTAACATGCTTTAGTACAATACAACAGTAATGAGGCTATAGTGGGGCTCACTCACCCTCCAGTCAAACCAAAGTACTTAAAGCACATAAATCAAAGTCATGTATTGCTGAATCAATTTCTCTATGGCCATTGGATTACAATCAGTGTGATTCCCTATAGAATCGCCAACCCCTTCATATTTGCGCCCGCCCCAACCCCCCCACCCCCCTCTCCCTTTTTTTAATTATTCATATCTTTTGTAATGCCTGTCCGAGATGTGTGTCTGTGTGTGTGCCAGTGTCTGCGCGCGCGTGACTCCTCTCTTGCATTAAAAAAAAAAGTGAAATAAAAATAAGAAAATTGTTTCAATTATGATATTTACTAAACAATAACAGAGTATGGTTAAGTCGACCATGATTAATGGTGAAAACAAAACCAATGGAGAACTCCATGGATATCAAGGATCTTATTACTCGAACAAAAGAAATTACCTTAAATGGTTTCAAATCATGAAAACCTTTCTGGAAAAAAAAAGAAAAATTCAACACCTAACTCTACCTCTAACGTCTAAAGACACAAAATTCATACTTTTGAAAGAAAATAATTTCATGAACAGGAATGTAGAACGCCATGTTATCGGAGATCAATAGGTTTTTTAATTTCCTCTCTATCACAAAAGAGATTTGAAATAATATTAAACAAACCTAATAACCGGTAAAAGATGTTACACTTATCTAAAAAAAATAAGACAAATATCACCACTACCAAACAAAGTAAGATTTTTATCATTAAATATTGTAATGTCATAAAGGTTTATTAGTTTAAGTTAAAATACTATCAACATATCAAGATGTCGCGCTGTGAATATGTGGTGAGCCTCAAACAATTTAGGGAGTGAGAGAATCATTGAGTTTGTGGCAAGACTCAATAATGGATTTGAACAAATTCGAAAAAAAATTTTAAGCATAGAATATCTGCTTTCTCAAAATGAAGTATTCTCTCCCGTACGAACTAAAGAAGAGAAAAAAATAGTAATGACTGACATGACAACTTATGAATCCCAATGTAAGATAAACTTATCCAAAATAATAACAAAAAAAAAATCGTTTACTAAAATCAATCTCTAGTGCAATTAGTACAAAGAAAAACAAAAAAATATATATGTTGAATGCTTCAAAAAAACCCCAATGATATTATGGAAATAAATACATAAATCGCAACAAACAAACCTTTGTAGTAGACTCAGAACGACTCAATTCATGAAAAACTTGTATACTAATATATTTTTTTACTTTTTAAAATAAGT